GAGAAAGCTTTTGATTTCTTGTATTCTTTATCTCCAGAAGTTCTGTTTGATTTTTTAAGGTATCTATCTCTTTATGGAAATTCTCCTTCATCTCATGGAATGATTTTCTTGTTTCCTGAAACTGTCCATCTTCTCTTGCATCTCATTGAGTTTTGTTACAGTTAATATTCTAACTCCTTTTTTGATATTTCTGTGTTTTCCTATGTCTCATCCATTGTTGGTAGGAGTTACTGTATTCCTTTGGGAGAGAGATATTTCCTTGTTTTTTGTATTTTTTAATATGGTTTTGTATTCTGCATTGATTTTTATGTATCTGATGTAGTGCTCACGTCTTTCTAATTTGTGGGCTAGATTAGTTCATGGAGGTTCAGAAGAGCTGCTCAGGGGGTGGTATCAGTTGGAGCAGGCAGTCTTTCCCGTGGACTTAAGTCTGATGGGAAGGAAAGTGCAGCCCTGCCCTACCCACAAGACAGGGGATAGTGACAAAATTCCTCAGTCTCTGTTGGGATGGGGTGTTCTATTTTACATCCTCTGCTCTCTCTGGGCTGTGGAATCTTGATCTTAAATGAAGATCCATTTCTGGTCACCTCGTAGGCTGGTGGAGGTCTGATCTTTTTCTCCTGAAGCTGTATTCTTATGCACCTCCTTACAATGTGTGTCAGCTCTGTTTCAGTTCCAATTTTTTCCTCTGTGAGTGGGAAGTGCTGGAATCCATGGTAGGCGTCTGGAGTTCAGAGTTCCCCCTCAAGGGGAGGGGGAGGGACGGTCCTCCAGAACCTCACTGGCTTTAGGTAATGGACTACTCCTTTCCTTTCCAAGCAGCAGATATCTTGTCTGGTACATTTCTTTTCACTTATTAATTTATTTAACACATACTTTTAGCAGGCACTGAACTAACTACAATTCGTGCACCAGCAAAAATAACTCCAAGTTCCCTACTCTCCTGGAGCTTATAGTCTAATAGGGAAGAAAGACATTAAAGACAGAACACACACAACAGTGTAATTATTGGTGAGATGATTGACATGAAGGAAATTAAGACTGTGCTAGGCATCTGAAGAGTCTGATGGAGGAACCAGGAAACACAGAGCACTGTGATTTTTCGATTTGCAAATCAGGCTTATGGGGGAGGCTGATCAAACATCGACTCTTGCCTCACATCTCTGAGTCTCCAGCAGAGTTGAGGGCACAGAGATCCTGCCTTCTACAGGGCTCAGTGAGTGAGCTGGTAATAGGAAGGGTGGCATCTGCTCTCTCCTGACACCACCTAAGGATGAAAGTGCCTTCCACCCTTGTGGGCACTGTTGAGTAGAGGCTGTGAGCACCACCACAGGGAGGAATAAGGCTTGGCCAGGAAAGAAGGTGCGGTGCTGAGATGTGAAAGAGGTGCCTCTCTCAGACACCCTGTGAGCTGTTTTCTGATCACCTTGAGGAGGAACAGGGAGACAGCTCATTGGACAGGACACCCTTCGGGGACACACATAATGGGCTGTTCAGAGTTCTGTTTACACCTGTAGAATTAATTCTTAATTCTTAGGGTAAATGATTAAACGGTATTAAATTGTCTTTAGCAGTCTCTTAGGGGAGACACACGAATGCTTTTGTAAAAAGTATTTCAGATTTTGAAGAGTCCAAAGAAGTAATCAGCTATCTCTAAAAAATAAAAATACACCCATTAAAAGATTTACTTTTTTTTCAATCCATGTGTTATTCAGTAGGCTCAGAGTTAATGAGGGAGACTTGACAAGACACTCATTCTTTGGGATTTACTGTCCTTGTCAATAAGAAATACTTGTTCTTGATGTCTCAGGATTCTTGTGAATGTGTTTATTCTTTTAAAAATTGTATGCTTCAATTTTTTTCTAGTGGAATGTATTTTGTAAAATCAAAGTATAATTGGGAACCAGCAGTTAGCGTAATGGCTATGTCACTGGACTCCCACGTAGTCGACTGCGGTTTGTGTCCCGGACCCGGTGGCTTAAAACTCACGCCGGGCGCGTGTGCGTGCGTGCCCAAGATCCCGAGAGGAGAATGGAGGAGAAGGGATTGCGGCGTGACCATCCCCCCTGGGGGGTGATTTCTCGCTTTCTGTCTCTATGTCTCTCTCTGTCTGTCTGGCGAGTGCATGCGCCCTACAGTGAAAATCTCTCAAAAAAAAAATCAAAGTATAATTGAAATTAGATAGATGCAGCTTTTGAGTAAAATTAACTTATTTTAAAACTTTTTTCTTGGTCAACTTTGATGGATCATAGAAATATAACATCCTATTACATACATTGGGGTTTAAGGCTTGTTCTGCATCCTATTATTTTATTTGTTTTTCTTTCTTCTTTTAATTCTAGAGGATATAATGTTCTCAAAAATGACATCATTACTTATAGAACCATTAATTATTTAAGGAAAACTTTCCAAATCATATGGAATCAGTAAAATTTTATTACTCTGTATGTTATAGTCAAACAAAGATTTTAATAAAATCCAACTGACAAATATACCAAAATGTTTAAAAATTTTATTTCATTTACTTAAAGTACTTGTAACTTTTATTAGGAAGCTTTATTTATATTTGTGAAATTCTTTTAATTTATTCTGTAGTTAACATAAGGAATTAAATAGCATTATTTAAATGTTAGAGGAAATACTAAAAATTATAACATGGAAATTCTATGTGGTCTCTTCCTTAAAATTTTTTTTTTTTGAGAGATTTTCACTGTAGGGCGCGTGCACTCGCCAGACAGACAGAGAGAGACATAGAGACAGAAAGCGAGAAATCACCCCCCAGGGGGGATGGTCACGCCGCAATCCCTTCTCCTCCATTCTCCTCTCGGGATCTTGGGCACGCACGCACACGCGCCCGGCGTGAGTTTTAAGCCACCGGGTCCGGGACATGAGCCACAGTCGACTACATGGGAGTCCAGCGACATAGCCATTACGCTAACTGCTGGTTCCCCAAATTTTTTTTATAAGAAAGATTTTTACTATAGAGCATGTGTATTCACCAGAGAGACAGAAGTGAGAAATCAACCTCCAGGGAGGATGGTCGTGCTATGATTCCTTCTCCTCCATTCTCCTCTTGGGATTTTGGTCACACACACACACATGCACCTGATGTGAGTGTTTTTCTTTCTTCTTCTTTTTTTTTTTTTTTGAGAGGTTTTTGCTGTGGAGTGCCTCGACAGACAGAGAGAGACATAGAGACAGAAAGCGAGAAATCACCCCCCAGGGAGGATGGTCACGCCGCAATCCCTTCTCCTCTGTTCTCCTTTCAGGATCTTGGGCACGCACACACACGTGCCCGGTGTGAGTTTTAAGCCACTAGGTCCGGGACGCAAACCTCTGTCGACTACGTGGGAGTCCAGCGACATAGCCATTACGCTAACTGCTGGTTCCCCATCTGATGTGAGTTTTAGGATGCTGGGTCCAGGACTTGAACCACAGTCAATTGCGTGAGATTCTAGCAACTTAACCATTATCTCATCTGCTGGTCCCCACTTTTTTTTTTTTTGAAGACTTTTGCCATAGGGCTCATGTGCTCACCAGAGAGAGACAGAGACACAGTGAGAGAGAAAATGAGATATCACCCCCCCAGGGAGATGGCAATGCCATAATTCCTTCTCCTCCTTTCTCCTCTTGTGATTTTGGGCATGCATGTGTGCACACGTGCCTGGTGTGTTTTTCAAGCACTGTATCAGATACACAAATCACCGTTGACTATATGGTAGTCCATCACCTCAAACAACATGCTACCTACTGGCTCCATTTCTTTAAAATTTGTTTATTTTAATTAATTTATTTATTTTGTTTTAATTTGACCAGAGAGAAGCAGAGAGAAAAAGGGGGAGGGCGAATGCAAGCCACCCGGTCTGGGGCTTGAACTGTGGTTATCCACGTGGGAGTCCAATGCCTTAACCACCATGCCACCTGCTGGGTCCATTTTACTTTTTTTTTTTTAAAAAAGTGGTAATGTTGTCAAACATATTCAGGTCTATTTTAAATAGAATTATCTCCAAATGCATCTATACCATATGTACATGTGAAAATATAAACTATTTTTTGCAATGTCCATTATAACATATTATTAGTAGTAAAAATAATTTTTTAGTGGCTGGCAGGTGGCATGGTGGTTAAGGGCCCTGGACTCCCACATGACTGATTGTAGTTTGAGTCCTGAACCTGGTGACTTGCTTTCTCAGTTTCTCTCTCTCTCTCACACACACATCACACATACACACATACTCTGTCCCTCTCTGGTGAAATTAAAAAAGGAATTAAATAAAATTAAAGGAAATAATTCTTTAAATTTAAAAATAATAATAATTTTTTAGTTAATTATAAGTAACAGAAAAGTCTTTACAAATTAACATATACAATATCAGACAAAGACTCTTTGTCAGTTTAATGAATTAGTGTAATTATTTTTGACTTCAAAAAAATGATGGAATAAGTACTTGTTTACTGGCTTAGTCTGAGAGGTGCCAAGAAATCTTCAGCTCAAATGATCCCCTTCGCTGGTCATTCACATTTTACCTTTAGCATTTAATTTCCTTTATGCTAAGCTTTGCTTGTTTGGGCAGGATTTATTTTAATGCACTCTGTTTCAGAGAGGACATTATAATAATTAAATTCTCCCTGGTGTCTTAGTGGGGATTCTCTGCTTGATTCTGTCTAGCAGCTTTTCTCCCCAAAACCAGGGTGACAGGGAATCTGAGAGGGGACGGAACCGAGAAGCAGAGCTGCTGTAGGGACAGCCAGGAAAGCGAGCTATGGTCACGGCCCGTACTGCGCAGTATCCGACGTTTCTGGGTGGTGGGATGTGTGCGAATGTTCTGCTATGCCAGTGGTTTTAGCCTGTGGATTTCTAAGATAAATTCAGCACATTAGCCAAAAGGTTTAACTTACTGGCTCCCTCATTGAGAACTGGGAAATGAAAAAGATGGACAAAAGCTGACGAAAATGGAATTAAAAAAAATTAATTTGCCCTTCACTATTGTGTGTTTCAGAGACTGGAGCACAAGGAAGTCTTAGTGGGCTTGTTGTTCCTGGTGTTCCCGTTCATTCCGGCCAGCAATCTCTTCTTCAGGGTGGGGTTTGTGGTGGCCGAGAGAGTCCTTTACATGCCTAGGTAATTATTGCACCTGATTCTCCCTTTATGAGACCTGTCCTCTGTCATCCACGTTGACAGTTCCAGAGAGACTCCTGCATGTTTATAACAGTTAGATCCTCATGAAGCTGAGGTTTTTATTGCCCCTGCTGTACAAACAGCCACTCCAAAGACTACATAGTATTGAGTTTGTGCACATATATCCACAAGGGCTTTCCCCTAGGTGCAAGCTATAAATGTTACCTCCCGTTCACAGTTAAATGTGAAGTACTAAGTTAAGTATATTCAGGATTTTAGCAACAATCATTTACAACTTGTCTGTTCAGATATTTTATTAGTTAAATATGATAATAATTTTATAGAAATGTTTGTTGATTTTCATAAAATTATTATGGTTCAGTAGCATGATTGTCATGAACGTTTTTCTGTCTTTTTTATCTTTAACTGAAAAATAAGAGCAATCTCAAAAATATATGTCCTTGAGAAAAAAAAAAGGATTGAAAAATTATAAAGAGCATTCAGATAAATGTGATTACATAATGCCTCTTAGCTACAAATATTTGAACTGTGCTGAAGCTTGGCTGTTCTCTTGTCTTATTCAAATGTCATCATTCCAAGGCCACTTTTCTGTTCAGATGATTAAAAACATGTCGTTGAATCAGGAGACAGAGTCCTGGTTCTGCCATTTCCTGGTTGTGTGACCTTGAGTAGGACCTAGAACTTTTACACCCAGATTTTCTCATTTTTAATGGCAATAATAGTAAGGTCCTTCAAATTAATATTTGGCTTATGGCACTGCCTTTTAGAAAAGTTCATTCTTCTGTAGGTTCTCTAATAACTTCTAAAAGTTCTATAAGAATGAACTTTTTAAAAAAAAGGCAGCATTATTAACCAAGATATTATAAGTTAGTCATTATTTTTTACTTTTGACATTGTACTAGAGTTCAAAAATATATAGTAAGACATGAATTTCAGAATCTTTGGTTCTTTCAAACCAAATACCTGTCAATGTTCTTTCGACCTTGCAACATCTAATTTTGATTTGGTTAAGGGTAAGACAGCATTTTATTTGTTTTCTGTGTCCTCAGCACAATTTGTGAAGGTTTTTGACGGATATTATTCAGTAAGGACAGAAAAGGCCAGCCATGTAGGTGGTGTGGTGGTTAAGGCAGCTGGATCCCATATGGCCAACTGTGCAGTTCAAGTCTCAGAATCAGTGGCTTGAAAAACACTCTGAACACATGCATATGTGCCATAAATCCTGAGAGGAGAATGGCGGAGAACGGATTGTGGCATGCCCATCCCCTCCTGGCGATGTCCCTTTCTCTCTCTCTCTCTCTCTCTCTCTTTCTTTCTTTCTCATGAACATGGAAGAAGAGCATTTTCTAAACCCTTGAGACACACAAAAATCTTCTCTTCGTGAATCTCTACATTGTTGACATTGACAATAAACTATCATTTTCCGCAATATTAGAACCCAGGTCCTTGAGGAAAAGATCTTTATGATGTACTTGGTGCCATTCCTGAAAATATGAATCATCTGTATGTGAAAATTCTATGTTGTCTTAAAAACTAGTGAAGAATAGGAAATGGAGGAACAAGTTCAGGGAGTAATTCTTCTGAGGAAGGTGAACTTTCTATTTGTTAGATTATTTTCTCCCAAGCTATTGACACCAAATCCTGGCCTTAGATGCTCATTCGTGAATATTGCCGAAGCCACAACTGCTTCACTGAAGCCTGGGTGGGCCCCATCCTTCCCAGTGGGTTGATTTGGCCATTTTAGAAGAAAGCCAGGAGTGAGCCTGACCAGCAGTGCTCTTTCATCCTCCGTCTTTGTGCCTAACAATGAACGAGCCACTTAAATCTTCAGACTTCTGTTCTCCCTCCATCCTAACCCAGAAAACGGCCCCAAATCACCATCCTCTCATTTGCACTTTGAAATCTGTGGATAGAAGGGACAGAAATAGGCTATCTGCTTAGCACGGCATGACTTTAATATCAGAGTTTTACCACCAAAAGAAATTGAAATAATCTTTTCTTCTGTTGATAAATGCCAGTTTTGCAGATATCCTTTCCAAACAGATAGGAAAGTTTAAGAATGAGCTCATTGTTTTGTGGAAATTTTGATCTCTTACTCTTATCCCAAGAAAAGCATATAATTTTATCACTATCTTGTCTTTGTATTTTATAAAATCCACATTCAAATGCTTCAAGGGATGAAAGTTTCTTAGAATTGGTGAAGCACAAATAGTTGATGGACATTCTCAAATTATGTGATGGTGATTGAGAATGTGTTCACATACCAGATTAAGGATGAGTAGTTCATGTCGTTGTCACAGAGAAGATTCCCGAAAAACTTGGGGAAAAGTTGAAAAAGTAGAGAGAGGAAAAGGATAGACAGGAAGGGAAGGCAGAAACAGTATCGTAGGATAGAACTGATCAAGAAAAACTGCAGGTATACAAGGAGACATTGACTAGCAGAAATCTGAGGGAAAAAAGGGAAAAATAAAAGGCACTCACAGTCTTGGAAAGACATGCCATTTATATTGAATAATCCCTAAATGTATGGACGTAGGAGATAAGGAAAAGGTCATATTCAATTTGAGAAATATCTCCAAATCATATCTTCTCAACTCACAGTAGAATTTTTTTAAAAAAAGTTTTATTTACTTATCTTCATGAGAGAGACAAACGGGCAGAGACAGACAGGGACCTTGGCCTTCTAGCCAGCCAAGGTCACAGTAGGTGCACCTAGCATATTCAGGTCAACCCAGGATCTGAACCCTGGGTCTTCCCATATGGCTCCAGTATCACATAGCAATGCCCGCATTACAGTGACCAGACCAGAAATTAGATGTTTAATCTTCCACAAATCATTATTGAAACAATGCAGCCTGAGAACCATGACCTCTGAAGGTGCACTACCTGTTATCTGATTTGGGAACCCCCTTCCAGTGAGCCATCCATGCATAGGCTTCTTCAGTATAGCTCAAGGGTGAGAGTGATGATGGGTTGAGAGTGACTCAATCTGCTAACTCTGTCAACTGACAACACAGAATCTTACTTCAACACACTGAGCAGGAGGAGCGCTGAGCTGGGCCCAGTCTGCCACACACGGACTTGTCATCCAGGAGAAGGGCTGGTTCCCAAATGCTGGCTGAAGCTTCATGGCAGGGTTGCCACTGGGGATAAAGTAGGTGGTGAAAGGAGAAAGGAAACAATATGGTCAGTTTTTTTATAAAGTTAAATCTTTGTAGTTTTTCAAAATTATGAAATCTCATCTTTCCTGTATTTCTGTTGTCCTTCTCTTCTCCCTTCATTCCCCACTATTTTGAAAATTATACTAGTTTCCATACTGCTTCTGTTGTTATAGAGTCATAAAATTATACAAAATTATAAGAAATATTCTGAACATTATCTTTAAAATTCAGTATTTTGAAATTTTGAAAGTTGTTTATAAACTGTCAAGAACTATGAAAAAAATTTTATTTTATTATAATATCTAATTTAGAAATAATCATTGTACATATTCATAAAAAATAAAATATAAAAGGAAAAAAAAAGAAATTAAAAACTTTCTAACCACTGTGCTATGTGATCTCTAAGGCCCCTTGCAGGTCCGGATCTCAAATTCTGTATGATTTAGAATAGCTGTATAAAGCTGTATAAAGTTAAACTTTATGCAATTGTTTTTTTGTTTGTTTGTTTTGTTTTCACATATTGTGGCACATCTGCCTAGGTCTGGTTAGTTTCAGCCAGACAAGCCCAGTAAAGAAGGTCAAATGTGTCCCCCGGGTTGAGTCAGGAAGGGAAAAGCCCCTCTGCCATGAGACAGGGTTTTGGGAGCCTGGCACTAGGAAGTGGTCAGGAAGCATTAGAGTGGGGCCACCACTGTCAGGTAATGGAGTGTCCTCACAAACAGCAGAAATGGGATGTTTAGGAGTTCACAGAGGGACCAGCAGATGGCGTAATGATTATGTCACTGAACTCCCATATAGTCAACCTTGGTTTGAGTCTAGGACCCAGAGGCTTAAAACTCACGCTAGGCACGTGTGTGTGTGTGTGTGTGCGTGTGCCCAAGATCCCAAGAGGAGAATGGAGGAGAAGGGACTGTGGCATGGCTATCTCCCCTGGGGAGTGATTTCTAGCTTTCTTTCTCTCCATCACCCTCTGTCTCTCCAGTGAGTGCACATCCCCTGTAGCAAAAACCTCTTTCTCAACGAAAAAGAACTTTACATAGACGAGCATCAAGGAATGCGTTTTAGGGAATAAATGGGACTCCAGCCACAGAGGAGGAAGACATGAGCGAGATCCCTGTCTTTGAGGATTAACAGTGCAGTCAGCTCACCATGAGAGGATGCCACCCACAAGAGCAGGTCACATGTTTGTTGAGCACTGTGACGTCATGGAAAGACTAGGAGAAAGACTAATATTAAGCAGGGACGCAAGGCCAAGATCAGACTGCCGGAAGGGGTAAGTGGTACTGAGTCTTGTGTAAATCCATGACAGGTAAGGATGGTACGGTGTCAAGCCACATCAGTAGAGTTTGATAGTTTCAGTGACAGATAATAGGAAGTCTTGGAATCAAGTAGAGACAGTATTCAGAATGGCTACCTTTTTGTTTTTGTTTTTAGTTTTTTGCTATAGTGCACATGAGAAAAAGAAAGTAAGAAACCACTGCCCATGGGAGATGGCCACACTGCAATCCCTTCTTCTCCATTCTCCTCTTGGGATTTTGGGCAGTCACCCACATACACCTGGTATATTTTCCAAGCCAAGTCTGGGACTGAACTGTGTAGTCGGTGATGTGGGTTTTAGCACCCTAACCACCAGCCACCCAGAATCTCTGCCTTTTTAACTTGGTTCTTTGTTTGAAATTTTTATAGTGCAATACAGTAGAAGGGCATAAAAGGCAAATTGGGCTTGTCCATGAGTCACTCAAGTAAACACCTTGGAAGCAGATCGATTCGTAGTTTTCAGAGACAAATGCACCAGCCCTTTTGTACACAAGTAGACATATG